CCATAGTGTCCACTTGCTATCTTGATTTCAGCTGTTTGATGGCAAACTCTTGATGAAAGTTGCTGGTAATACTTTGCCTTCATATTTGCTGGATAGTTTTAGTTTTCTCAAATCACTTTTTTATTTCAGAAAAAAAATCTAATAATCAAGTTCTCAGATGCAGTTATTTTCCTAATTTCATTTTGAAAATACTTTCTGGTATTGCAGGTTCTCCAGTGTAGGGATTATAAATTTTAGTGAAAGACACACTATGTTCCCAGGGTGCAAAGTATAGTGGTGGCATGATAGATTCACTGTTGATATATTCTGAGGGCAGAATTTCTTCATTGTAATGCCAAGAACATCCTACTGCTTTATTTCTTCAGTTCTTTGCAACTTTACAATTAACATGCACCTGTTGCACAGTGCTTCATTCTTGAAGGAGAACAAAATTAAACATCCATAATTGTTCTATTATAACAACAGAGATAAGAAATAACTCAGCACCCAGACACAGCCCGAGTACAAAAGGTTTATACAAAGAAACCTTAGGTCACATGATAAGACATAGAGAAAGTCATGTGTTGCTCACCTAGAATTTATAGAGGAAGGGAAGTAGAAGAGGAAAGAAAGAAATTTTAAATACAAGTTTAAGGACTTAAACAAATCTTTTAAAAATGATTAAAATGTTGATTCTGGAAAGTTACAAACAGATCGTGGGTCCAGATTGATTTGAACTAATATTTTGAAGTTAATTATAACAAACCTTCTTATAGGAAAATCTTATTTTGAATTCTTAAAAAGAAATATGATAGGACAGGACTTTGAAGGTTGGACACTAGAGGGAACCAGAAGGAATTAAAGATTATAATTAAAGGAGAACAATACTTAAATGTGATTTATTAATACAGAATGAGGCAAAATATTTTAACATTGGATGTATTGTGGGATATTTGTGAACAATGGACCCAAAAGTTAAGAGTTTTAACTTTTAGCTCCTAAATCTGAAAGTGGATTTAAAAACAACAGGCTACAAGAATGATATGGAAAAACTGCAGAATACACAGATGAAACTGCCTGATGTCTTGAGAATTAAAATGCATATACAAATAAGAAGTCAAAAGAGCAATTTGGGTAATTTCCTATATTGGATTTACAAAGGAGACTCTTGTTAAAGTTCTGAAGAATTTTGTGAGAAGCAACAAAAGAAAATGAGAAGAAATCAAAGTCTTGGACATTATTTGAAGAGCCAAGACTGTTTAAGTAAAGATCAAGATTGTTTAAAATAAAAGGAAAGAATATCAAAATTGATTTGTTAAAAGTTAAAAGGATATGTCATTAATTCTGCTAACCTTTAATGGACTTTGCTGACTGGGAACAAACGATGAGGTTTTAAGGATTTGTTTATCAATAAGAGATGGGAGATGGGAAGAAGACATCATTTGTTGTGTTTTAAGATAAGATGTTGTTACTAAAATTGTTTATACTTGCTATGAAGCCAGATGGATGAATTCAATTTTATTGGCTAGGAATAAATTGTTGAGAGACTTGAAAGACCAGCCTGGAAAAATCCATTTGTGTGATTGCTAAAGAGTCAACACAAACTTGATGTGACATAATCAATGCTGAGAAGATGCATGAAATATAAGACTTTCTCTAAATTTTTAACCTGCAGTCAAGTGCGCATAAAATGACTGGCACTGGTACCAGGAAACCAGATTTTTTTTTATCTCTTCTACGTCAAGCAATTACCCTCTTTGATTATATTAAAATGTCATATAATGTCCTCTTCTATTCACTGGATTTTTTTCTTTTATTTTTTTTTCTCTGGAACTGTGGTTTCCCGGTATTATAAGAATAACTAGAATATCTGTACTAAATACAAACCACTTCTGCCTAGCATTTTCAGTCCTCCCCCCCCCCTTTTTTTTAAAAATTTTCATTTGGGTATTCTAAGACTCATTGATGAAAAGATTCAGGATAATTTTCAAGTGGTATGAAATAGAATGGAATATCAGAGTTGGAAGGGACCATGGAGGTCTTTAGTCCAACCCCCTGCTCAGGCAGGAGACCCTATACCATTTCAGAAATATGGCTGTCCAGTCTCTTCTTAAAAACTTCCAGCGTTTGGAGCATTCACAGCTTCTGGAGGCAGATTGTTCCACTGATTAAGAGGTATAAATTACACCTTTTGGAAATAATGTTATGATGGAACCAGCCATTTCAATTTAACGTAATGGAAGTAAAAATATAGCTCGGTCTTTTAAAATATCACATGTTCATTCTTCTTCTCTGTATGTGTGTTCATTCTATTCTATGTCTACGAGCAGGCTGATAGTAATAATAATACAATGGTCATTGGGGTACCAAAGCCATTTTTTAAAAAGTATCTGGACTCCTTTTTTTGAGAAAAAGACTTTTTTTGCATCTTTATTATATGGATTGATAATGAATATGTTTTTCAGTTCTGTAGATAGATTATCTTATATTTCACCTGATATATCCGTTTCTCTCATACACTTTTATAATACTGTACTTGAATGTCATGAGTTTTGATGTGCTGCTATCTAGTGGTTAGATTTACTGCTTAATTCAAAGTAACAATCAATTGCTACCTTCACAGTTGACCTTGGCTTCCAACAAGATTTTAGCACAGTTTCTTGAACAGCAGCAGCTACCAAATTCAGACATCTGGTTTTACTAGAGTGTAATATTCATTCTTCCCCCTTTTCTATAATATTTATGACCCATTAAGGAGCTTAGTACTGTAACATAAATGGATGTAGACTCTTAAACCCCCTCCCCCCCACTTGCTCTTTATTTAGGAATCTGTATAACTGTATATACTGGAATGGATCCAGGGACCAAGGAACAGAAGGAAAAGAGTTTCTTTTCCACAAATGCTTATACAAGAATTTGTGTAAGAGTTCAGGCAGCATTGTCCTTTGTACTGTATGTTTCCTTACGCAGGTCACTTTCCCAAACACTTTTGCAAGAACATCTAACATATTTTTCTGACTGAAGATTAAGTGATATCTTAGTGGTCTTGAGCTTGGTTGTTTTCTTGCACATATTTCATTACCCAAACTAGGTAAAAGCATCAGTGCTAGTAGGAAGTGGGATTTGCTCTCAATTAATATTCCAGTGGCTTGCCTTGTCAGGCGTGGTCTTGTTATTCTTTGTTTGTTTGGGTTGCTTACTGATGGCTTGTTTGGCAATTCTTTGATTGGGGTATTGTTCACTCCTTGATTGTTGATCTGATATTAAACCTGGCTTTAATCTATGGTCATCTTGGCGTTGATTGCTCAGTTCTTGTAATATATCTGGAAATGTAAAGTCAGCAATTATAGAACCAATGTGATACAGGGTTTAACTGAGAAGACTCCAGTCTACATTGAGCCATAGAAATTCAGTTGACACTGAGTCAGTCTATCTCTCTCACAAACACAGACATTACCCCAGAAGATGATTGTTAAGGGGGAAAAAATGGAGGAGAGAGTAGTATGCTTGCTACCTTTAGCTCCTGAAGGAAAGGCAGAATATAAACACATGCATGTATAGAATAAAATGTAATTCTCAGATGGCTGAAACTCAAAATTGTCTAGATTGTTGTGTATAAAACATTTAAATTATAGTTACATGACTAGGGAAAGCTACAACCGGTTGTAAAGGTGAACTGGTTGCCAAGCGTCCAAAATATGGTCAAGTGACCACTGGGATGTGTTCAAACATGAAACTCTGGAACTGGGTTTTGTGGGGGAGGGGGTCTGTCATAACTTTGAGAGGCTGTCTGTACTTGCTTCGGTTGGTTCCTGTGTATCCTGTTTAGATGTCTTACTTAATGAGATCCTTCTATCTATCCTTTTAAGATCTGCTAAAATGCCCAAACCCTGCAGTATGTAATTAGAAACCTACCAATATACATTGTAAAATACTTTAAAATCTAACCTTTCTTAAAAAGGATGAAAATGTTGTAGATTTCAGGAATTCCAGTTCAGAGATAAAAATGGTATTTACTTAACTATATATCTTCCAGCATAGCTGAAGGGAGACAGAATTAGGATATGATGGACAAAGTGATTGAAGTATCCTACAGCCATAACATCTTCTAGCAAATTCGGCATATCTGGGATCAGGACATTTTGCAGTTTGAGAAATAGCATCTGAGCTGCAAAAATTCCCGTTTTGTGCAATTAGATTTAAGGTGCTGTTCTACTTGGCCTTTAAATGTTCATCAAAATGAACATTTTGGGCTTATGTATACACACATATGCAAAGAATTATATTTATGGAAATACAGAAATAATATGTATCATCACTTTTTATTTTAATTATATACTTAACGTCTGGTAGATTGTTGTAAGGGTAATGCAACAATTCAATAAGATCCTTACCTTTTCTCCACCCCTTTCAACTTAGTAGAAATCAGTGTTTTTCTTCTTGGGCAGCTTGCTTGGGACTGATGATTAGAATGGAAAGTTCTAAATTCTTGTCTGATATCACTTCTGGTCTTATTTATATGACTTCATTTGCTATCAATAGTTGTTTTGGTGAGAAAATATCATTTTTGTTGAAAGAACTATACTTTCAACATGTACTCACCCTCAGCAGCTGAATTGGTAAGGGGAAGTCAACACACTAACCATGTAGTTATGCAAGCAGCTTCTTGTATAGGTATATCTATACATGAACAATTAGCTCCTTGCAAGCATTATTTATAGCTCTGTTAACTTTGTGTATCAATGGAGAAGCTAAATTGTATTCTCCTGTAAAATCTTATCCAAAGACTATGTTGCCTAATAAAAAAAGAGGCTAAAAATTAGACTAAGTTCCTTCACAGTCCCTTTATCCCACATTCTGTTGAGTGAGATCAACCTTTATTTTTTTCGTTTGTAGCTTATTACACTTTTGAAGGTCAGGGATTTTTATTTATTTTTCATTTATTGTTTCTTTTCTTAAAGATAAACCTTAATTAAATGTTTTAGTGATTTTAATTTTTGTTTTTTTTTCTTCCCCCCCAGTTTCCTCATAGTGCTGATCTGCCTTATATTCAGTGTGCTTTCCACGATTGATCAATATGCAGCTCTGGCCACAGGGACATTATTTTGGATGGTATGCCTATGGATATTTGCTTAAGCAACATATAATTTGTATGTATTTTGAGAAGAATTAAAATTGAGATATAGATATGTATTTATATGAATGTACTGTGTATATATTTGGTAATGTTATCTGGATGTATTCTGATTTGCTAAAATGCCCAAGCAAGTATAATCAGAAACATATCAGTGCGTATTTTACAATACTTCCATCTTTTTTTTTTTTTACTAATTTGTATCTGTATGAGAGTAACATGAATAACATGGAAGGAAGAAGTAAGTTTGTGCAAAACCTTTAGGTTCAGGCAGAAATCCAGACTGATTTTCCTTATACTGTGGATTGTGTTAATTTGACCATTCCAAGGGTGGTCCAATGGTTTTCATCATCCAAACCATAAGCATTTTGTGATGTTTTTAACATGGTATTCCAGGCAAAACAGTTCTGTTTGGTGACCATATCCAGAATACATCAGCTTTAGTTTGGACTTTGGAGGATTAATTTCCAGAGTATCTTTTGACTATACCGTATGGTTCAGAAGAGAAGAATAATGTTGCAGAGAACTTGTTTCTGAGTTCTGTTTCAGTAGGTTTTGGACATCCCTACGTAGAAGGAAGTATCCTCTAGGTTGTCCCACAAGGTTTAACCAATTGAGTAGGGTGATTGAACAATAATATGTATGGCAATTCTCAAGGCAAGAAGTAAAAATCAGTCATATACAGATTTTTTTAAACTCTCTTAATGTTTTTAATATTTTTGTCCAGGTAAAAAAATACGATGCCTCAGTTGATTTTACATATAGCAAATAGCTGAGAAGCTAAAGTTGATGCATTTGATAATAGCCAATTATTCTGACCTTGGAATACACAATCAAACATTTCTTTTCAAAGATTTGTACAGTCTGTAGTTTTTGTTGTTGTGCATCAGTGTTATCCCCTGATCCATACCAATCCAATAATGCTAACAATCACTTGAATACTCCATGCAAGTTCAAGAGTATTCAGTAAACAAGTCCTCTGAGTTCTCCATTGTCAGGACTTGTGTCGGGTTCATGAAACACATACTGAGAGTAATATAAGCAGCCCTCCCCAGCTATTATGTTCCTTGCTGGTATCTCAGTAGAAGTTGCTGGCATTGCATTACCTGACTTAATTCCTTAGGGCAAGCCAGCATTTATATTTCATTTCACTTTGGGCACTTAATCCTGCAGTTGTTTCTTATGTTGGGATTTCCCCATTATATGTGTTTTAATATTTAATGTAGGCAAAACAGTACCCTCCTTTTTTCCAGAGAGTCAACTTTCAGAGTTCAAGTTTGTATGAATAAAAGGCCCAGTTTTTATGTCTTTCATATGCAGCTCAACAGGTTTATAGCACTTGGGTTAAGTCCTTCTTAATTTTGTCTTTTATTTATAGAGTTATTTTTACACAGATCTGGTAGTGAATAGTTTCATATAGTGAATGTACAAGTACTAATTGGCTTTCATGAATAACAGACTACTTGAGTTTCAGAGAACAGACTAGCTTTTGTATCCTGGTAATTTCCAGAAACATTGAATTAAAATTTCTGAAGTTAGTGTTTGAGACTTGGAATACCTAAAATTCTAGAATTCCAGCACAAGTTGGCATTATGTTTGAGAAAACAGTATTTGAACATTGAGGCTAGTGAAACTGTTATGTCCCGAGCCTTTGCAAACGGCTCGGGCGTTTGCAGGCAGTCCCGGGCAGGTGCAAAGCTGCCCGGGACCAGACAGGCTGTCGCCAGCGCCGTGCGCATGCGCGGGTGCTGGTGCGGGAAAAATAACCCATTTACCCGGGAGTTGCCTATATAAGAGGCTGCGAGGCGTTTGGGCGAAGCTGAAGCCATCTTCCTGTAAGCTGAACGCTGAATAAAAGAAACTGAGAACTCCAGCTGCTTCTCGTGTCTGTTTCCCGCCAAGGACGCAACACTGGCGACGAGGGTGGGATGCCTTGCACTACCTGGAAAGGAAGAAGTGTAAGCTTACCCAAGGAGTCCTGAGCGGCGGAAGAGGAACGGCGTCGACTCGGCAGCTGCCCGCCAATCCGGTGCGCATTCGGGGGTAGGCTGGCTGATAGACCCGTCTCCTGAAGATCCGAAGATGGCGAAAATCGGAAGGCTTTCGGAATTCGACGTCTCACATCCAGAGCGGTGGGAGTCCTACGTATCCAGAATGGAGAACTACTTCAAGGCAAACCAAGTGAGGGAAGATAGCTTGAAGGCCGCCACCCTGCTTTGCGTTTGCGGCCAAGACGCCTTCGAAATCGCAGAAAATCTTGCAGCACCTGTTCCAGTAGAGTCTGTAAGCTACGCAGACCTGAAGAAGCTGCTGAAAGAGCACTTCCACCCCAAGGTGTCCGTTATCTCATGGCGCCACACCTTCGAGCAGAGGGATCAACGGTCCGGTGAAACAGCCAAGGAATACATCGCCGTGCTACGGAAGGCCGCCAAGCCCTGCGAGTTCAAGGACCTCGAGGAACGACTGAGGGACCGATTCGTGTGCGGGCTAAGGCATCGAGAGCTACAACAGAGACTTTTTGCCAAGGAAGAATTATCCTTCCAAGACGCCTTAAGGGAAGTCACCGCAGAAGAAGCAGCAGGCGGCGCCATCAAAAACATGCGGCCGATCAGAAACAGTGCAGAGGGTGCGTCCGTGCACCAGGAAGACGTCCGACGAAACTCCGAGGAGGATCCGGACGAGGAAGTCGACCGTCTACACCCCGCGAAGGAAGAGAACCAGAAGGGAAGCTCTTCGGCTCTGCTCAAGTGCATCGGCTGTGGAGGTCGCCACAGGAGAACCGACTGCAAGTTCCGCTCCGCTACCTGTCGGGCATGCGGCAAACAAGGGCATATTGCAGCTGTGTGTCTGAGCCGACGAAAGGCACAACCCCAAGAAGAACGCCTGAAAGGTACCAGATTCCCCAGCCAGAATAGGGTAGGGTTTTGCGCTTCGCGAAGAAGCATCTGTAGAACAGGCACACACAAGCCCATGAAGAAAAAGCTGTCACTCAACGTGAAGCTACAAGGGGTTCCATTATCTATGGAACTAGACACAGGGTCTGCCCTGTCCATCATTTCATTGCATACATTTAGGAAGATTTGTTCCAGTAGTGGGTCTAAGGCCAAGTTAAGGCCTTCTGATATTGTATTAACAGATTTTCAGAACTCAAGAGTGTGTGTTAAGGGGGAGGCCACCCTTAACGTGCAATACAAGAGTTTTGAAGGTCCACTAGACTTATTAGTAGTAGGGGGTGAACGAACGAGTCTCATAGGACTCGATTGGTTTGAGGCCCTGGGGATACACGTCACAGGACTCAACAGCTTACAAACACTCGACCTACAGGAAGTCTGCAAAGAATTTGCAGATGTTTTCAGCCCCCAGCTGGGCACATTCAAAGGACCACCTGTGTCCTTAAAGCTAGACCCCACTGTCACTCCCATTAGGATTAAAGCAAGAAGGGTCCCTTTTGCTTTAAAAAGTAAGATTGACACTGAACTAGACAAACTAATCCAACAGGGAATCCTAGAACCTGTTGATTCCAGCCCGTGGGAGACCCCCATTGTCACGCCTCTAAAGGCAAATGGGGACATTCGCATTTGTGCTGATTACAAATGCACACTCAATAAGGCATTGCAGCAACATGCCTATCCTGTTCCTGTGGTCAGTCACATCCTGGCCTCTCTCAAGGGGGGGCGTGTTTTTGCAAAGCTTGACCTAGCTCAAGCATATCAACAGCTGCCTGTTGATGATGATGCTGCCATAGCTCAGACCATTGTGACCCACAGGGGAGCCTTTAAAGTAAAAAGGCTACAGTTTGGAGTAAATGTCGCTCCTGGGATTTTCCAAAGCGTAATGGAAAACACACTACGAGGTATACCAGGGGTCTGCCCCTACTTTGACGATGTCTTGATTGCAGGAGACTCCACACACATTCTAGCTGAAAGACTTAGGGCTGTCCTGTTAAGATTCAGGGAATCAGGCCTCAAGCTCAGAAAAGACAAATGCAAGATCGGGGTGCCTTCTACTGAATTTCTGGGATTCAAAATTGATGCTGCTGGGATTCATCCTGCTGAATCCAAACTAACTGCTATTTTAGAAGCACCCAGGCCAAAGTCTAAGGCCGAACTTCAGGCCTTCCTAGGCCTCCTGAATTTCTACAATTCTTTTCTTCCACATAAAGCTAGTGTAGCTGAGCCTCTTCACAGGCTACTAGACAAACAAGCTGTGTGGCTGTGGTCACAAGCACATGAGGCTTGCTTTAAAGAAGTCAAGGCCTTGCTCACTTCTAACAGTGTTCTTGCACATTTCAACGAGTCTCTTCCTGTGTGCATCGCTTGTGATGCATCCCCCTACGGGGTTGGAGCTGTCCTGAGTCACCTCAGGTCTGATGGAACCCAGGTTCCTATTGCATACTACTCCAGAACACTGTCTTCTGCCGAGCGCAACTACGCTCAGATAGACAGGGAGGCTCTGGCTGTTGTTGCTGGAATTAAAAAATTCCACGATTTTCTATATGGCAGGCATTTCACGGTCTTCACTGACCATAAGCCTCTGCTGGGACTGTTTACCACACGTAAGCAGACTCCCCACATCATTTCCCCTAGAATGCTTAGGTGGTCTATTTTCTTGTCTGCATATGATTTTTCATTACTCCACAAGCCTGGGAAAGAAATGGGCCATGCTGATGGCCTCAGTAGTTTGCCTCTGCCAGTAGTAGAAGCTGACCCCGCGCCAGCTGTCAACATTCTATCAATCCAAGCCTTGCCCGAGCTCCCTCTTAGTGCCAGGGATGTTACCGCTGAAACGGGTACAGATCACACACTTTCACGTGTCCGCTCCTGGGTCCTGTCCGGGTGGCCTGAGCACTGCCCTAGTCCTGAGTTTCAGAGTTTCTGGTCCAAAAGAAACGAACTGTCCCTTTCTCAGGGTTGTCTGCTTTGGGGAAACAGAGTTGTCATTCCCACCTCAATGAGGACTAGGGTCTTAGAATCCCTCC